GCTTTAGGGAACCTGGCCTGCCATCATCCGTGTACACAGACCCAGCCTGTACCCTTCAAACACAACCAAAGTCTGTTCTGAGAGCACAGACTTCAGTCAGGAGCAACTTACCCTGCAAGGGAAGCTGAAGGTTGAAGGCTGGTTTGCACAGAAACACCTTGGCATTCATTCTGTGCTCAGCTGCAGCCTGCAAAAGTGGCAATTCATATACTGTGTGCGTAAGCCTTGGCACGCAGGAGGCAGGGGAAGGACACAATAGGTCACCAGCCCTTCGTGAAAAATGCCCATTCCTTTCTTTGCAGAGTGCTGAACAACTCATAAAACCCTCTCCTGTCCTGTCAATGTCATGGCAGGGTGTAAGCAATGGAGACCTGGAGACAAAGCCATTAATGAGTGAAGTGCCTGACGTCCTAGGCCACAGCTGTGATTTGTACCCACTGAAGTGGCCAAAAGCAGCTCATCTCTCTCCACCTCCCCAAAATAAAGCTAAAACAAAGGAGTCAGATGGGTTGAGAATCAGGGAGAAAAGTGGCTTTTTGGGCTCAATTTTCACTTTGCACTGGAGCTTGCTTGACTTCAGAATCACATACCGTGTCTTCTGTGTGCTTAGCAAGACCTCAGCCATGTCTTTCATACTGATATTCCTAACACACAAAAACTGAGGGAAAGACAGGGCTGAGTCAGTTTGAAGAGAGCCTGATGCCCCTGATATGCACCCACATCTCTGCCTGGTGAATCAGGCTGTCTGGAGACTGAATGAGAGTGTGTTCCTCTACCACAGAAGACCAGGAAGATAAAAATAACCCCCAAAAGCCTACATTCAGCCTGGAAGCACAGTGCTGAGCCAGGGACAATGATAATAGGAAAACACAATAGTTCCTCAGAGCAGTCCTAAAATAATAGATTATAAATGGCAAAGGGGGAGGAGAAGGGAGTGAGGGCTATTTTATCACTATTCTAAAAGCATTCAGAGAAAATAAATTTGGATTCACTTGACAGTTCTTGAAAGCCAAAATGTGCTAAATATAATGCTGAATGTCCCTAAACCCAAAACATGTCAGCAAGAGTCCCTTGGCCAGGGTGTTCTTTCCCCCCCCATCCCCTGGTTTAGCCTTTGCCCCATGATGGTTATTTGCCTTTCTGGAGAGCTTCATCAGGAGCTATTAGAGACAGTGCTCTCTAAGCTGTATAATGTTAAAAGTCCATTAGCTCGCCCCAAGCAAGGCTGGCAGGAGGGAGATGATGTACTTGCTGAAGTTGAACAAGCTATTTGCATGCTGAATACTTCTAATCACTGAGCAATGCCAGGAGAATGTGAACATTACCCTCAGCTGCCCAGCAACCTTTCGAACACACTCACTTTAATACAAGACAAAGTGGCAAAATGCATCCAGCACTGAACCCACAAAAAGGGAGAGATGGATGTTTTTAAGCAATTCTATGCATGGACTATGCACAACTTTAAAAAAAAATCATAATAAATAATCAGTAGCAAAGTCTATCTTCCTTTCCCTCTGCCACAGTCACTTGCATTGTGCACAGCCACTAGTATTATGCATGGGTTAAGAAAATATGATAAATGTCTGCTCACTTTTGGTCTGACCACGATCAGCTTTTATCCAGCAACGTACACATGCTTTGTTTTAAGCATATTTTCAAGTCTCTCAATGGAATTTATTGTGACTGCCACCTTTCAATGCCTGTTTCAGTCAATTTTTAGTGGACACAAGTCTGTCTCACAGCCCTCCATGGGGAGATCAAGCAGTGGAAGGGCACAGAGCTCAGGTGTCCAGCCCAGAACCACCACAGCTGCCTAAGGAAGGTTGCTCTCCACTGGAACAAGACAATCAAGGAAAGTCCAAGAATCTAGATCAAAATTACTATTATTTGTCACAATGACAACGAAGAAAACAGACTTGTAAAAACCAGCTCTTTCAGAGATTTTGAGGACTGACTTCTATTTTGAGCAGTGCATGATTAAAGTCCTGCAAAGAGTGACTCTGATGCCCAGTTGTAGTTTTCTGGTTAGAGCACCAACACTTCTCCAGGCTAAAATATTGCAATATGTGCAGAAACCAATTTATCACAGCCAGACAAGAGTGACTGGGGCTTCACACAACATGTCTGAAGGAGCAGACTGCAGGCTGACACAAAGCTCTTGGTCTCTTGTTCCCTTCTGCCTTCAAACGAGTTCTCCCAACATACCACAGAGAGTAACTCCCATTAGCTGCTGGTTCTGTCACCTTGCAGCAGCCCAGATGTCCCTCTGAAGAAGTGACAGCTTTTTCAGCATCTCCCAGAACTTACAACAACTGGAAGCAGTCAAATTAGCTGCTTCTCCCACTGTCCTACTGGAGAGAAGCCCTATGGAAAGAGCAAAGGCAAAGGACCAAGAATAAGACCAGAGCCAAGATGTCCAAGGAGGATCACACTGGGAGGTGGAAGTGGAGCCTCTGAAGGGCACTTTTCCTTCCTCCCCACCATTCTGATGCCTCAAAGCCAGACCCTCTTGGCGGGGACTCCCTCCGTTTTAACCCTGTAGGAGTCAGTAAACCCACATTCCCACAAAGGATCTGTCCTACATGCCGCCAGCCCCTTACAAACTGTCCTAGTCCTTTTCAACATCACTCAGAACAAGGAGAAGTCAGCAGAAAGGTGGCTAATGGGCAAAAGGAAAAGAAAAAGGAAATCTTATCTGCCACAGCAGTGGGTGCAGAACTGGAGCTCCCTGGCTCACAGCACTGACTTGTCCCCTCTTGACATCAGCAGGGAAGATGCCTACATTGCAAGTTTAAAGCAAATTCCCTCTTGTTTCAGTGTCTGTCAGATTGGCCAAGTCTCTAACCCCGTGGGGCTGAGTGCTCTAAAATGCTTGTGTGAATGACTTTCAAGAACTCCCTAATAGGAAAAGCACCATGGTTTCCTTGAAACTTGCAGAGAGAAGTCAAGAGTAAAAGGTCATTGGTATCTAAACCCACTGACTACTTTGAAATCCCACACAGACACTTCTGCACTTCACAAATCTGTGCCAGCATATACTCAAAGGCAAGAGGGGACAATAGAAAAGGAAGAAAATAGTCTTTTGTATTCTCTAATATACAAAACACTTGTCACCTCTGGGCTGGCAGCTTGCTTCATTAAGTTAACTATAGTATGTGGAGAGGAGCAAATACTAGACAGATACAAACCTACTGCAGATTACGATTCTGTCTCCTGGGAAGACAGATGTTCCAGGTAGAGGATATAACATTCTCACAAACCTACCTGGAAAACTGCTTTTCAGTCCAGTAAAATGTCAAGTCTCCACTCCCCCTCAAAACCAAAAAACAACCCAACAGACAGAATGCAGGAAGAACAAGGTGGATACTTTTCAAAATGTTTTTTTTAATTAAAACCAAAAAAAGGAGCACACACCAGAGCTTGACATGGGCTAGTCAAACTGCTGGTCACCAGGACATTGAACTGGCATGAGGAAGGCTGTGTTTCTGCATATCTCAGGAGCACTGGCACAGACAATGGGTCTCCTGGGAGAGTACTCTGCCTGCCAGGTTACTGCTGCTTTGTGCTGAGCAGATTTCTCACGTAGTGATGGGAAACTTCATCCTGCAGCCCAGACTCTTCTCTCAACAAACAGAAGTCCCAGAGACTGGGGAAGAAAACCATTTCAACAAATCTGCATTTTCCACACACTTCTGGAGAGGATTCCCCGTTGTTTCTCCTGCCTCCCCCAGGCAAGTTTCACAGCTTTATATGGAAACTCATCTTTGGCAATAGCCACATGGGTAGGACCCGGCTCTGCTTCTGCTGAAGCCAGTCTATGTCCTTCCCCAGACCAAACTGCAGCTGCACAGGGCTCCTATCAAGAGCCGATTGTGCGTTAAGGTTAAATCCTCGTCCACTCCATCAGGCCAGCAACTTCTGAGAGCTTCTTGTAAGTGTGTACCAGTAAATTCAGGTAAATGTGAACATCTTGGCTATAGCAATGGGGTGAAGTTTTTAATTATGCCCAAGAGATGGAGGAGCTAAAGTTTTAAGACATGACTTGGGCACCAGATCAGGTACTGAAACCTCCCTGCCATCTAATAAAGCAGTTGCCAAAGCTGTTGGTGTGCTGCTCCACCAGCCTGGTTTCTTTACCACAAAGGCTGGACTGAAAAAGTGACACATTTTTCATACACAATTTTTGTCAGTTAGAATTTACTAGATATGCACCTCATTTGTCTGTCAAATATTTAAAAAATACTTCAACCTGCTCTAATAATCACATTTTAATACATGCATCAAGTTTGGATCAGAACAGCGTCTCTGGGATAATCAGTAAGCCCAAATTGCTGATTTAAGGCCTAAATATCAGTCACTGGCCAGCCAGCCACAATAAGTCACTCTATCCTTGAACTCTTGGAATTATTTTTGGCTCAGACTAACCCTTGTTACTATACATCTTACCCTACACACAGAAGAAAAGTGTATGTGTTTTTCAAGGCTACTGTTGCACCACAAGTTCACATACAAACACAACTTTTGCAAACATGAGACCAGAGTAAGATCTCCCATGTCCCAGGGTGAGTCAGAAAGTTCTCAGGAGTCCAGGGAATGGTAACTGCCAGAAAGGATCAGGCCTAATACATGCATTAGAGAAGCAAGGTAGCTCCTTTGCTGGAGGTCTGGCTGATTCACTTTGCACATACCACTGCTTTAGCATTACATCCTTATCTAATGGTAAACCTGTTTCAACAACATGCAATACATATTAATGCAATATGCACTGCAACACACAATACGCATCCAAAGAAATATGCCAATGCAAAACTCTGACTGCTCACACATAGCCGGGCTAACAAGGAAGTCTTTTACAAAAGACAATCAAGAAATCACCTGAAACCATGAGACCAGAGGGGTCTCAAGCAATCAGCAATATTGAGACCTAATAACAGATGCTAATTCATGAAAGAAACACAAACAGTGGGACTGAGGTAATGGCAGAGATTTCATTAGTGCAATTACATTTAAAATGGTATGTTCTTTAATAGAATTTAAATAAGGCTTTGAATAATTACGCACACTAAAACTAACATTCCATAACCTTATTCCGCATGGAAAAGCAGCAGAAACAACCCTCTGGACTGTACAAGGTCCAATTAATGAACAATTACATTCAAAAAGTAGATCAAAACAGAAACAACTCTTTCCCCAAAAAGCTGTATCATCATCTTTAAAGTCAGCTTTCTCCGCTGTATCAGAAATGTGAAGAACAGATGAACTGGGCTTCAGCCCAGTGGATTTGGCCTCGTCAGATTACCAGTAGAGCTTTCCAACCCAGCCTCTCCTCATTTCTTTAGGGTGATGGAAGCTCATGGAAAAAGAAGTAAATTTCTGAAGCAATGGAAGGTGAGTTGTCTCTTTCTCCCTGCCCAACAATGTACATAAATGATGGAAGCTTGGGAAAAACCCCTACGTTACACTGTGGCTTGTGTTTACGATGCATGTCCTCCTTTAGAAACTACTCACAGACAATGAGGCAGGGGGGGGGTGGAAAAAAAAAAGCAGCATATGAAATAGTAATATAATGTCCCAAAATCTGCACTGTCCTGCAGAAACAGGATTTATAATTTGTTCAGATTGTTCTCAACAGATCCAATCTATGCTGGATATGTAAAAACCAAGAGGCTAAGTCATCAAGGAAAACCAAATTAAAAAAACCTGCACGCTGCAAGAGTTTTAAAAACCAAAACAAATAAAAATCCCAAGAAACACTGACGAACACTCAGAAAAATTTATCATCAATTCTGAAGTGGGGCCTTGTGACATCATCCGGATTAATGAAGACAGAGATGGACTTTCCGGGGTTCTCAGTCACTAGCTGTTGCAACTTTTTGGCTAACCGGTCGTCAGGCTGGTTGGGGTCTCCTCCATCGGACTGCGGGGAGGGGATGCTGGTGGTGCTGCCCCGCCGCTGTAGCTCCAGGGTGAGCCTGTTGGCTGCCTTGACGTGTTCGATGGCAGTTCGGAGGTGCTCGGCAGGGTCGGAGCGCACCGAGGACAGCTTCCGCGCGTGGAGCATGACGGTGTCTTCGGAGAGGTGCTCCAGCATGTTGCACTGCGGGATGAAGTAGTTAGGGCACATCTTGTTGACCAAGCAGTGCTGGAGGTCATCAATGAGACCCAGGAGGAAATGGGCTGCGTAATCCTCCTGGGCCAGGTAGCTGGCTGGCAGCCTGTCACAAGCCCACAGCATCATGCTCCGCAGGTGATATGGACTAATGGCTTTGGGACGGGACAGCAGTTTGATGATGATGGCTTTGCAGGCCTGGTAGGCTTGCATGAGGCTGCTGGAGATGCACTTTTTCAGCTGCACTTCACTCCTGGCAAATGACAGCCTCCATTCATTGTCCTTCTTCCCCTTGTAGGAACATGCAGGCACTAAGTAAAACCCACTTATGACTTCCTCCTCCGTGATCTTCCCATCCCAGAAGTGGTTCTCCATCAGCCAGCTCTGTGCCACAGCTGGCCAGCCTTTGAAGGACACCACAGGGACAATGTCATACAGCATGCGGCTGCTGCCCACTCCCAAAATAATGGATATGATAGTCCCATTCTTTTCTACCTTCTCCACCTTTGGCATCCCTCGTTGGGGCTTTTTCTGGATCTCAGAGAGCACAATGCTAATGGACTCATAGAACCAGTCCGCAACTTTTGTTGGGGAGAAGAAGTAATTGGTAGCTCCATTGATATGGTCCACGATGGTGCAGCAGTCCTTCCATTTGCTGATGGTTCCTTCGTCGAACAGGCGCAGGCTCAGCCAGGAGTGGCACAGGGCCGAGTGGCGCATGTCCAGCGTCACCGGCTGGTTGCGGTCGTGCAGCTTCAGCGCGGGCACCAGCAGGGTGAAGTCCATGTCGTAGTCTGTGCCCCGGGCATAAACATTCAGCTCATCGAGGTCAATGTCCACCACGCCTTCCCGCACGCCGCCTGACAGCAGCAGGTACTCGTTGGCTACAGGCAGCTTCTGGTCGAGTTTCTGAACCATGCCTGAAAAAGAGAGAAAGAAAGTCCTTTCAAAGAAGGCAAACAGATCCAGGGTCTAACCAGGATTAAAACCCATTCCGTGCCCAGCAGGAAAAAGAAGCAACCAGAGGTATCTATAACTTTTGGTGTAGCAAAAATACACATCAGGCCCATCACTCAGACAATCTTTGGTCTCACCTGACTCAGGGCAGAGCCTTCCCTGCATTCCTGGGAATGTGGGAAGTCCATGCTAAACATCACATTTCAAGCAATGAAAAAAGCAGCAGCCTCTGGTGAAACACAGCAAAGCTACTTCCAGATCTAGATGTAACTGTGTAAACACCTTCTAAACCAGTTTTTCACCATATTGACATTCATTTCCAGAGTATCCAAATGTTTCACCAACACTCCATAGAGAAAAGACAATATTAATTGACTCGCTGTTCTTATTTTCTCTCTGCTGTAGAAAAAAGCTGGACCAGCATCAGGGAGTTGGTTTGTTCATGAGTGAATGAATAGCTACAAATGTTAGTTCAAGCAGGTCTGATTTTACCATCTGCTTTACATTTACTGATGAACAAGGCAACATGAACAAAAGAAACGCATCCTTCTCTTATGGGCGAATGGAGCAGGTTAAATGATCAGGCAATTAGAGAAGCCAGCTCTGAAACTGGCTCTTCAAGCTGCAATGACATAAAAATCTGATCAGCTCCTCAGAACACAGACATGAAGACAGATTTTTACTTTCAGCACCAAAACCAGACACGACATTCACCCTGCAGTGCCCGTACCAGTTGTACAAAGCCAGCTTTTCACCGGGAATTCTATAAATACACCCCACTATACTGCATCCATAGAACATGAACAGCAGACTGAGACTCTACACAGAAGCTGAGATATTAGCACCCCATTCACTGTTCAAATTAGGCTTAAAATTGAGCTCTGCACTTCAACTGCTCTGCAGTCTGCTCCTGCTTTCTGGGCTGATTCACTGCTGGTGTTCCTCTTGTGGTTAAAGGCTTTTGGTTGCTTCCCAGCCTCAATTCAGCTGCCACACCTCAGCCATGAGGGAACAAAAGCCAGTGGCTCTGAATGGAGATACTAATGCAGTTATAAGCACTGCAAAAGGGATAGATTTTATTCCTTACAAGTACAAATGCACTAGTTTCTGTTGGCACGCATTTCCAACTCCAGCTTTTGAAAGGCAATATGGTTTGTTTACATCAAGAATGGTCAAATGGACAACTTCCATTAAAAGGAAGCCAGTCATAGAGAGACAGCAGTGGGAAAAACTAGCTGGAGGCATAACAGAGTGAGCCAGAAAGCTGCCAGTCACTCTGTCAGCCCAGAAATCACAGGCAGACACATCAAGAATGTGAAACACAAATGACAGCACTACAGTCTGAGCACCCATCCTGTCATAGTCCCAGTGACTGCAGAGCCTCTCCTGAGGTAATGCATCCCTGTAGGATCAAAGACACGGCCTGCACTGAGTGGCACTGCAGTGCTTTCAGGGACACTCACCTGTTCTTCCCTGCATGCTAGGACAGCAACAAGGAAACGCTACCTGCATGCATATAGGTAAGACATGACCAGAGCAAAATCTAAAGCTCTGTGGACACTGATTCCTTGGAAAAACCAAGGATATTGTAGGAAGAGGCCTCTGTGTGAAGCAGAATGTATCTTGGGGAAATATTCAGTGTGCCTGAAAGCTCTCATGTGAAATTCCTTGTTAAACACACTTTACCTGTTTCATTCCTTCCAAGAGCACTGGACCCAGTCCATTTTGCTGCACTGAGCTGGGATGATTTTCCTGCCAGGCAGGCAAGGACATAAACCCTTCCATTTCATGCAGCTCCAGGGGCTGCAATAGAAGGAAATAGCTCTAAAGGAGTGCTAAGAAACTCTTCCTGCTAAATCCTGAGCTAATCCCATTCTGCGATCTTGCCACACGCTGCCCTGTTCATTCTCAAAGGGTAATAACTAAGAAAAGCTTCTGTCAACCTCAAAAACATTTTCTGAGGCTTAGACACACAGTGAGCTGTTCCCCTGATCTGTGGAGCGGCAAAGTCTTGCACAGGTTTCTCTATCCCAGAGGCCAAATAAGTAGCAGTCACTCTTTTGCTGTACCCAGAAGGGGTTTTCTAATGGATACCTCATTTGATGTGACTTCTTCAGACACCACTGACACACTGCCTCTGAATCCTGTCCTTGAACCAGTGAAAGCTAGTGCTTTACACCTCTGTTGGAAGTTGAGTCCAATACCCACAGTCTGGATCAATCACATCATGGGGACAGGGAGCAATTTTTTTTTCCCCTAAAGATTAAAGTACTACTGGCCCTTACTGTGGGGAAGCACAGCTATTCACGATACGAAGGGTTTGGATGACCCATCCTGCCTCTACACTCACCCAAAGTTTTCCACTCAGGACAGTGTTCTGCAGCATCTGCCATGCAGATCTGCAGATATTCCTGAGACAGGCAGACAAAATGCAATTATCCTACAGAAGAAAATGTTCAAACCTATAGGACTCAATAAAGGATGCATTTTTCTAAATATTTTTAAACTTAAAGGATGAAAAATGCTCTACAGTGGGCTCTTTGCACCAAAACTTCTATCCCAAAGCCTTCAACTGAAAAAGAAAATCAGATTTTTCCAAAGAGATTCCCCACTACCAAATCTGCTGTTGGATGAGTTGCTCTCCTTGGCCTGGAGAGATCTTTTGTCCTTGCATGGGAGCAATAGAGTTGACAGTCTAACCCCATTCAACCAGCAGCAAGTGGGACTCAAGCCCTGCCTTCTGTACACCGAGTCACTTTATTTTCCCTCTCCAGAACTCTAGACCTACCAGCAGAAGAGAAATATGGAAAAATAGTAAGGAAATGGTTGCAGGAAATGATCTAATATATCATCAATATCTCTCTACCTGGCTGGCTGCAGTTTAAACTCAAACCCTTGAGCTCTGCTTGGTACAGAATTTCCCCTTCAAGTCTTGGACCAGCAGCATCTGCAGCTCTGCCACAGAACAAGAGAAGGAAATTTTGCTAAATGATCACAGCAGCATTGCTGATCCAACTGAAGTGGTGGAGCAGGGAGTTGAGATAAGGTCCCCTTGAGGAAAGTATATTTAGAATAGGCATAGAGTTTTCTATAAATAGTTGAGCTGGCCAACTCAACTATTGAGCTGAGCCTCAGGATTACCTAAGGCTTTAGGGGTTTTGCAATGTCTTCAAACTGCTCCCCTTGCTCACACATCTATTTGAAATGTGAAGGGATTTCAAGGAATCCCATCAGCCAGCACTGTGTGGCACACACCACCCTGTCACAAAGCTCTCACCCCAAGCTTCTGCAGCCCATGAATGTACAACAGGAGTAGGCACTCCAGTTCAGCAGGCGTGTAAGTGCAAATACAACAAAAAATACCAAGACTGGTACTCAACCCAAGCACTTAATAGCATCAGTGGGCAGTTTGAGCTCTGTTCTTTCCATCTCAGTCCCAGGACCACCTGGGAGGGGGAGGCAATAGGGATTACAGAAACACTAATGAAATTTATAGGAAACCTATGGAGTTGTCTGTAAAGACAAAACCAGAATTTGTAGGGTCAAACATACAAAACAAATTTTAGCTGAAGGACCAGCTCTCATGGTATCAAAGTAGGTTCACTGATACATAAGAAGCCTCTTGCTGCTACCAATAATTTTCAGCAGTACCTTGTGTGACACTGAAATGGTTGTTTGGCAAAGCTAAGTGGGAGACTGGTGTACAGTTACCAACTATTTCTTTCTAAAGCACCTTAAAGGAGTTCTGTTTTTCTAGATATGTAACTAATTTAAGATCTTCCCAAGCTATTAAATTTGGCATTCTGACAGGTAAGTATGCTTGCAACCATGAGAAAGGCAAGGATTGTAAGAATCAGGAGCACCACCTGTAGGCCAGGCTTGCTGGTTGGTTTACTAAACATGAATTCAGAAACACAGGTGACCAAGTGAGTTCTACCAACAGAACACTGTTCCTTTGTTGTTTCTTCAGTGTCAGGAAAAAAAGGATTTATTTCTACTTCAAGGCACTAAGATACAAAGAGAATGAAAACAGAGAAAAGAGATTTTACTTTATGTAACACCTACATTTGGGGCACATCCTTGGATGAACTGTGACTCCGATGCAGATGACACAGAGATTATTCTTCCCATTAAAAACAAAAACAAAAAAAGGAATGCAAAGATGCTCTCCAACCATAACAGAATTTCAGATGAACAGATTTCATGACCATTGCAGTGTGTGCTGGGATCCACTGCTGTTTCATGACTAGCTTTGTGTAAATAAGGAGGAACACACAGATTGGTCTGTGAAGAAACTGATCACAAGAAAAACACGATGTAAAAACTATTTCTAACATATGCATTGCTTAATTTTGGGTTCCTTCTTGAAGTCTTTCTTCCTGACACTTCAGATGTGCAACCATTGTCACCAAAAGGAAACATGGTAAAGCAAGTTAGTCTAACTTGGTCTCATCAAACTGAATGGGGTGATGTTCAGGGCAGTCACTGAATTCAGGGAGGCTTCTGCTGCATGGGAACTAGAGAGAGGTCAAAGGACCAGTGAGGGGCTCAGAAAGGTTCCACAGAGGAGAATCAGCAGCACCTTGCACACAGAAGAAGCCTATCACAGGAATTTTTCTGGGAGCCAAGCCAGACCCAGGCACTAAATGGTGTATCCCTGGCAGCCTGGGGAGAAGATATATAGAAGAGATCTTCCTTATGTATGGGATCTGTTCTATAGGGAAAGCTAAGGACCACTCACTTATCCTACTGCCTCCCTCTTTTCTACTACTGCTTAATCGTTCCACAGGACCCAGCATGCATAGGCAAGGCTCTTGATTTTTCCTCACAGGTTCATCCTTTTTGATGCATAACCTAGAGAATGCCTTTTTCCTTCTATATGAAATCATTACCATCCTGTAAGTCCAAGACCTAAGGAAGTCTGACTTCCTGGATGATCAGACAGTGGCTGCTCAAAAGAAAG